CTTTAGGGATAACGGGGGGGTAACTTTAGGGATAGCTGGGGGTCACTTTAGGGATAACGGGGGGTCACTTTAGGGATAACAGGGGTAACACTGAGCAGGTACATTCTCAAAGCAGCTGCTGGTGTTCCACCACCATGATGTTGACCTTCTCTGGCCGGCCCTTGACCAATGACACGCTTCCGTTCAGTGTACAGGGCCCAAAGTTCAGCGCCATCTTGATGATCGCCATCGGCCCTGTCCAGGTAGTCACCCGGGCGGTTAACCACGGCGAATGGTTAAACCATGATTCAAACCACCCTTGTTGGGCTTCCCTGTCTCTTTTTCTGTTTTCTAGACCCTCTCTACGTCTGGCCGTGGTATCTCCGACAACCCCAGCGTTATCTGCGTATACGCAACGTTCCTCTCCCAATGCAGCGCGTACTCCACCTCGTTGTAGAAACGCGAGATCCAATCCTCTACGGTTTTGACTTCCGACAACGATCTCAATGATGTTTCCAAAGCGCTGATCGCTTGTTCTATCCGAGCTAAATCTTCATCCACTGCTGTTCTGAGGGAATGAAACCTTTGGTTCTGTTCGACTAACGAGACCGTTCCTGCTCCCGCCCCTGCGGTTCCTATAGCTCGTGGGGTAGCTATGGCCAAAGCAGTGAGGGGTTCTCGCTTTTGTACGCGATGAGAATGAAAAGGGGATCCCAGTAGAGAAGATGTTGCTTAAAACTCTGCTCGCTCTTTATTGTACGAGTTCTTGATAAGAACCGAGAAGTTGCCTTGAGACCCAGCTAAAACCGACCCTGCGGTTTGGGCAAGAGCCAAGGAGCAACTGAGTCTGCGCCAGAACAAGGGGTTCCTAGCGGTGATGAGGAGGCCTTATCAGTGGATAAGGAACTGGCTGGATGGTCGCGTCCAGAGGGTAGTGGTCAATGGCTCAATGTCCGGATGGAGACCGGTGATGAGTGGTGTCCCTCAGGGGTCCGTACTGGGACCGGTGCTCTTTAACATTTTCATCAATGACTTAGACAGCGAGATCGAGTGCACCCTCAGCAAGTTTGCGGATGACACCAAGCTGAGTGGTGAGGTTGACACACCAGAAGGAAGGGATGTCATCCAAAGAGACCTGGACAGGCTGGAGAGGTGGGCCTGTGTGAACCTCATGAGGTTCAACAAGGCCAAGTGCAAGGTCCTGCACCTGGGTTGGGGTAACCCCCAGTATCAATACAGGCTGGGGGAAGAAAGGATTGAGAGCAGCCTTGCTGAGAGGGACTTGGGGGTACTGATGGCTGAAAAGCTGGACATGAGCCGGCAATGTGCTCTGACAGCCCAGAAGGCCAACCCTACCCTGGGCTGCATCAGGAGAAGCGTGGCCAGCAGGTCGAGGGAGGTGATTCTGCCCCTCTACTCAGCTCTGGTGAGACCTCACCTGGAGTACTGCGTCCAGCTCTGGAGCCCTCAGCACAAGAAGGACATGGAACTGTTGGAACGGGTCCAGAGGAGGGCTACAAAAATGATCCGAGGGCTGGAGCACCTCTCCTATGAGGACAGGCTGAGAGAGTTGGGCTTGTTCAGCCTGGAGAAAAGGAGGCTACGGGGAGACCTGATTGCGGCCTTCCAGTACCTAAAGGGGGCCTATAGGAAAGATGGGGAACGTCTTTTTCACCACCGACTCAAATCACTGAGCATGTGCAGTTGGGAGGGACTTATGGAAATGACCTCTTGAAACTAATTTTAATAGAAGCGGGGACAGGTTATGCCTACGTATAGGCGTATTGGGAAACTTCATGTATACGTAATGCTTTGCTACACATAAACGGGGCAAGCTGCTGTGTTGCGTGCGCACAACTTTGGTGGGACTACCCCCCGTGCTGCCCAGCGCTGAATAAACATCCCTACTGTACAATCTCACGGATGGGGGAGTCCGTTTTCCGCGTGTCAAGAAGTTAAAAGGGTTTGATAATTATATATAAATTTCATATATATATATGATTTTTGGGGATAATCATCACTTCTATACAAAATTCATTCCTTCCCTTGAGCACTTTAAGAGATACACATGGGGTCGCTCCAGTTTTTGAGCATATCCATTTGGTATTCTCGGCAGGAACTAGCCAATCAGATTTCGATTCCTCTCCTAACGTGGTCTCGTTTGTACATAAACGCCTTTTCTCGAGGGGTATTTCGCCGACACGTGTGCCCTGTCCCGATACAGATTGCATCGTTATTCCTGGGTTGTTCGTAGAGTTCCGTACACATTGTGTAGGATCGGGCCCATTCACTAGTTCTGGGGCGAATACCTACCGCTTCATAAACCGGGGGCCTTACGTCACAGCAAAGCCAGCAGTTTGTTGTCATATTTGGGTTCGTAGAGTTCAATATCTGGTATGTCGAGTTTAACAGCTTCTATAGGGGGGGCATTTCAAATCCTCAAGTATTCCGAGTCTCGGTGTTAGCGGGAGCCGCGTCCTCGGTGTTATTTTTGGTGTTACGTATTAAAGGTCGAGATGTTGGTGGGCGTCTAGATGTTGGTGGGTTAGGGTTAAGAACCGGGTTAGGCCCGATGGCTTGGGGTGCTTGTGGCGTGGCCTTAACGATCTGTATCACTACTCCTGGGTCTTTTAAACTGTGGTGAATCAATACTGACCACGTTTTTCCTGTAAACCAACCCGTATTAGCCGGGTTTTGGATTTCTAAAATCAAATGGGAACAAGTACCCATTTGGACCAGCGACCCTCCCTGCGCGAATGTTGGGCGGGTACATTTATTTGGTCCCCATTTCACCCGCAAAAATTCGTCGTCTTTTTCTGGTTTCCATCTATCGCTTGTCACAATGGTCTCGCATCCCCAATATCCACAAAACCAATATCCTGGATAGTTACAGTAACTCTTTCCTCCCCGGGTTCGAACTGGGGCACCAATATGTTCCCCATCGTGTACTACGGTCCCGTCTTGGACCTTCCAAGGCGCAAGCACCAAGGAGAGGGAATAAATCACAGTTTTCTATCGTAAAGGTTGGGGCACCTGCTGTTACGTTCTCCTTTATCAATCGGTTGCTTGTTGGGTCTTGTAGGATCCACCTGAATGGCTGATGGTGATTTAATTCTGCCTGTCCTATCGTGACAAGCTCCAAAATCAAGACCACACGAAGGCATCGCAGCCCCCCCTTGCAGAGGCTATTCTGCCGTTGTCTGGGTTCTGCCGGTGCGGGGCTCCCAGGCTTGGACAGGACGCTTGCCAACTGGTCATCTTCTCCTGTCACTGGGGTGTCCGGGTTACGGGGGTGTCCGATGATCCAACCCTGTGAACAAAAACTCAGAGTTTTCATTAGTTTTATTCTGGAGGTCCGGTTTAATGGACTTATGGAAAAGTTAAGTGGTGTCCGCTTCTTTTTTGACAGCGGCATACCCTCGCCCTGTAAGGACTAACCTCCCACCCTTGTTCCCATTCTCCCTGGCAAAACCTTCTGCTTTTGCCAACACTTCTAATTTGGATTTCAGGGTTTGGTTCGCTCGCTCAACTATAGCTTGTCCAGTACTGTTATACGGAATGCCATGTGTTAGGGTGATACCCCATTTCAGAACGAATGACTGGACTGATTTAGAGACGAAGTTCGAACCGTTGTCCGTTTTAATCTGACTGGGGATGCCAAGCCACGCCATGGCCGTCAGCCAGTGTTGGATGGTTGCTTTGGAGTCGGATTTGAGGTGTTGTGTAGCTACGATCACTCCGCTATATGTATCTACGGTAACTGCTAGCCACGCTCGGGGTTTCAGCAACTGACAGAGCGTGAAATCTGTTTGCCACACTTCGGAGGCTTTAAGACCTCTGGGGTTGACTCCACTGGACCACAGTGGTGTTTTCTGACAGTGGGGACACGTGGCTACTATGTGTTTCGCGTCAGTGACGGAGATTCTGCAGTTTTTTGCTAGCGCTTTAGCTCCAATGTGGAGGGACTCGTGTAGCTGACGGGCATCTCTTAGTGTCCACAGCCCTTTTGCAGCGGCGTCGGCCTTGTCATTACCGATTTGAAAAAACCCTTTGATTGGGTTGTGGCTGTTGACATGGATGACCGATAGGGTGCCCTTTCGGGAAAAAAGCACTGCTTCTAGCATTAGAGCTGCTGTGGATGTTGACACGCCGGGCCCCGGCATGGCTAAACAAAGCTTGGCCACGAACATCGAATCGGTCACTATGTTGAGGTGTTCCATTGGGAACAGTCCACACGGCCGTCGCTTCTAATTGCTGGACTGGAAGCGCACAATCGGTCATTTTAATGCAGTGCCATTCTCCTCCCGATTGCCAGACCGCCACCGTGGTTGAGGTCACCGAGGATGCATCTGTGAAGACCGTTGGTCCCCGTTGGGGCCGGTCTATGATCTTTCGCGGGAGGTCGATGTTGACAATTGCCAGCATTTGAGTCCAGGGGGGCTTGGTAGCGTACCGGGCTTCTCCACCAAATCCGACGAGGGCTATGGCCAGCTACTCTGACATTGCCTCTGATTGCGCGGCGAGTTGTTTGCGGAAGGGTAGGTGTATCCTGGCGGGTTCGATGCCTAGGTGTCTTAGGGCGAGTTTTCTGCCTTTCATGATGAGATTACCGAGGCACTCGACTCCTGGAGAGAACGCGCGTGATGGTTTTCCCAGAACTATCCATTGTGTTGGTTGAGCTTTTTCAGGGGGGCCCTGTGCTAGTGCTCCCACTCCCCCCCCTTCCGTGACGTGTACATACAGATTGAGTGGTACAGTCGGGCTCCACCTGGCAAGCGTGCTTGACGATACCTGTTGCTCAATGAAGTCGAGAGAGTTCATTGCTTCCGTCGTCAGAGTTTTTTGCTCCCATGGGTTCTTTCCTTCTAAGAGATCGTACAGAGGGGCCATGGTTTCGGGAGGGATCAGGACAATGTTGCGGAGCCATTGTAAGGACCCTACTAACCGCTGCATATCATGGAGCGTTTTGATGTGGCGACGGATTTTTATTTGGGGGGGGGGGGTCACGTAAGAACTTGTGATCCCCACTCCTAAAAAACTCACACACGGTCCTCTTTTAATTTTCGCGCTCGCGATTTCGAACCCATTTGTTTTCAGGATTTCCGAGACTGTTGACACTAGCTGGTCCACCTGACTTCCCGACGGCGCGGCAATTAAGATATCGTCCATATATTGAATGATGGTCGTGGTCGGATCACTGCGCCGGACCGGTGTCAACGCCCGATCTACCGCAATCTGGCAGATAGTAGGCGAGTTGATCATTCCTTGAGGCAGCACTTGCCACTGGAAACGTAAGTTGGGGCGTTGGCTGTTTGGAAACACAACAGAAAAAGCAAACCGCTCCTTGTCTTCCTCATGCAGAGGTATCGAGAAAAAACAGTCTTTAATATCAAGGACAGCACAAGGTTGCCCTTCCGGTATCATAGAGTTCATGGGTAACAACGTTTGAACAGGACCCATTGGTTGGATTCTTCTGTTTACTTCACGCAGGTCATGGAGGAGGCGAAACCCCTCGCTGGTTCGTTTGGGTATTACAAAAACCGGGGTGTTCCACGGGCTAGTGGAAGGCTCTATATGACCTCGCTGTAGTTCGCGGTCAACTAGCTCGAGGAGGGCGTCCATTCGAGGCTTCGACAGGGGCCACTGCTCGACCCACACTGGGTCGGATGATTTCCACGTCAGTTTAATTGGTGGAAGTGGGTGTGCGGCAGTGGCCCTTACGGTAAATTTGTCACCCTGGCTTTTAATAGGGTTAGAGCGTCCCTTCCCAGCAGGGGTGGGGCTCCTGACATGATGTATGGGAAGAGGGTAATGGTTTTCTCCGGTCCTTTTTCAGTGTGAAGCGTGATTGCTACCAATTGAGCGCTCTTCC